CAATAAGCCGTAAGTCACAAATCATAAGTCTTAAGCTAGAAATGGACCAATCACAGTCGTCAATTTTTAGTTTCTTACTTCCGATTTATGACTTAAGGTACAATTTCATGCTGACGCTTGACGCTTATTTTTAGCGTCAAAACAGATCACGTGATCAAAATTAATGCTTAATATTCGTCAATTTGTATCACGTGATCTGTTTTGACGCTAAAAATAAGCGTCAAGCGTCAGCATGAAATTGTACCTTTATGGCTTATTGTAGAAGGCCCATTCCAGTTCCGTTCCATTACAGTTTTCTCTACCCGTCCCATTTAGAGTCCTAGATATCAGAGAAGCGCAACCGGTTTAAGTCAGTATCGCAAAATTACTAAGAAAAGTATTAAAAATGGCGTCGTTTGCAGACGAAATATGAAATCCACCAATCGTCTATTAGTCAGCCATTTTTAATACCACTGAATGAATGTCATGATTGGCTGACAGTCAGCTAATCAGAACGCGGAACATCGGTTGCGCTTCTCTGATATCTAGGACTCTAGTCCCATTCAGCAAAAACGAAAAGGAATCTAGTTACAAAATATATTTTACCGTTACAATTCAATATTTTAGAGAACTCACAACAATATTATCAGCAAGATAATTGCACAAATTATGACCCGTATTCAGAACGCACTTTTATCAATAAAAGCGCGCTTTTATCTCTGAAATTCTATAGTATACGTGACGTAAACTGTAGCATGTTAGCGCGCTAACATCGTTGTTAGCGCGTTCTGAATACGGGCCTATATGTATATTATTGCTTTAACTGCTCAAAATAACGAAATATCGATGAATCAAGCATATTTACCAACGATCGACGCGACATTCCGTTCCGTTTTTGCTTCTTCTTCTTCTTCTAAATTTAAATGGCCCAGGTTCCGGAGTGACCGGATAAACGTGGCCAATCGTTTCCAAAACACCACCAACTCTCCACAGGAGGTCCCCAAAAAAGGAAAAGAATGATTTCTTGACATGATGTAAACTGTAGCATGTTAGCGCGCTAACATCGTTGTTAGCGCGTTCTGAATACGGGCCTATATGTATATTATTGCTTTAACTGCTCAAAATAACGAAATATCGATGAATCAAGCATATTTACCAACGATCGACGCGACATTCCGTTCCGTTTTTGCTTCTTCTTCTTCTTCTAAATTTAAATGGCCCAGGTTCCGGAGTGACCGGATAAACGTGGCCAATCGTTTCCAAAACACCACCAACTCTCCACAGGAGGTCCCCAAAAAAGGAAAAGAATGATTTCTTGACAGATTAAAGGTTGGATTATACTGGCCGTAATCTGTTAACTTATGCTGTAATCTGTAAAAATTGACCAATTATAATCGATTATTCCCCTCTCATTCGACTGTTATTGGTCAATTTTTACAGATTACGGCATAAGTTAAAAGTTTACGGCCAGTATAAATCAACCTTAAAGAGACTCCTAAAACACACGCGGAAAAATTGCCTCGCGCTGCACGCGGCCCCCAGCGGATCTCCACGGCACTTAAGCGCAGAAAGACACGGGGGCGGGGATATACCAAGAGGGATGAGGGGAAGGGAGAGAAAGAGACTCTCCCCGACCCCCACCCCAGCGCGCGAGGTTTAAATAGGTACATACATCAAAAGATTTAGCAAAAGCGAGTAGAAGTCTGCAAAATTTGTGACTAGGATTGACAAGCAAAGTGAAAATATTATATGAATGAGAAGGGAAGGTTTTAGTAAGGTAAAGGACTAGAGGTCTAGCTCTGCGTCTTGTAAAGGGGCAAAAGAATACTGTATGGTTAAGGTCTTGTCTAGGATCTCCACATTCACAAGCCGGAGACGGCACCATATTTTTCCTAAACAAGCTATAGTTGAGGTTGTAATGATTTGACCTTAATCTGTTAATCAATACTATTTCGCTCCTGGTGAGTTTCTTTTTGAAATACCAAGGTTTAATAGTCGTAGACGAGAAATATAACGAGTGGTAGTGAGCTCCGGTGTGAATAGCCTTGTCGTTCAAATAATCCGTGAAACGAACACGGGCCTTAGCTACTGCCTGAACCTGCATGGGTTTGCACCATGAGATTAAAATTTGGCCAATCAAAATAATAAGAGCAAAAATTTTTTTATTCTCATTGGTCAAATTTCAATTTTTAATCTTCAATCTCAATTTTCAACAGTTGGTTTTTTACATTTTGTTGCAGCACTTACAGTAAGCAATAAATACTAAATAAAAATCTAGGACTTAAAAATTCTCAATTAAATCTAATTTTGGTTATTATACGGAATACCCCCTCCACCTAATTTTATATTATAATTACAAAAACTAAGGGCCAATTTCACCAACGTCGGTTAAGCTAGAGTCCTAGATATCAAAGAAGCGCAACCGATGTTCCGCGTCCTGATTAGCTGACTGTCAGCCAATCATGACATTCATTCAGTGGTATTAAAAATGGCTGACTAATAGACGATTGGTGGATTTCATATTTCGTCTGCAAACGACGCCATTTTTAATACTTTTCTTAGTAATTTTGCGATACTGACTTAAGCCGGTTGCGCTTCTCTGAGGGTGATTTTACATGCAGCGCGGAACGCGGTACGCGGTACGCGGTAGGCGGTAAAGTAACCATCAGGAACCGCGGCGGCAAGCCGACGTACGCGGTATGCGGTACGCGGTGAAGTAACTATAAGGTAATTAACCTGAAAAGTTAACGCAAATTTCTTCCAAGTGGCCAATAAAGCGCATGGTAATTATTAGATTTAATCGATTTAATAATGTTATCATGGATATCAACATCATGTCTGCAGTCTCCATGACAAAAACAGTCTTTAATTATTGCGAAAATCGTTTTTTTTTCCTACCAAACTCCGAACTCCGAAATTATTTCTCTTTACTTGGCAGTATACACAGTATATACCTGTGTTAATTTCTAGTTATGCACTCAGCCGACCGAGCTGATGCCGACCATGTCGTTATCGTTCTGCCTTTCTTTTTTCCTACTATTAGGGCGGGTTCACACCTTGACGGAAAAGCGGAAAGCGGAAGAGCAGTTAACCAATCAGAACTCGCGTTGGTAGTAAATAGTACAAAAC